AGCCCCAGTCTGGCTGCATGAAAGCCAGTGAGGTAACACCTTCAGACATCAGTTTTTATAGCAGAAGTAGATGGAGGACAGGGTTGGTGCTCCCAGCTGTAGATCAGGGTATTAAGGAACTACATATGTGCAGAGATGTTTACTTTGTAATATTTCCCAACAGCCTCCATTGGTTTTACTTGTGTTTTGAAAATGAAATACAATTAAAACCATATCCATTCATAGAAGAGCAAATGAGAATAGTGCTTCTTGATAAAAACATTTCCATCAAGCAGCCTTAGCTTAGATCACACACACACACACACACACACACACACAGCTACACTAGAGATGGGTGCACAGAAGTGAACACTATAAATTTGGTATCTTCCCATTAGGAGATACTCTACTGGAGGAAACAGGCATTTCTCCTGGAATACTAAACAAACAAACAAACCAAGCCAAACCCTACAGTTGCATTCTTTTAATAGTCCTTTGCTTTGGAAGATGGATTCTTTATGATATAGTCTGAGGGTTTCTGGAGATGACCCAATCTCTCACAGGAAACATGGTTCTGAGAATCAACCCCTTCCCACCTTTTTGCTATAAATATGAAAGTAACCTTCTTTATGAGACAATTGTGACAATAGCCTTTGCGTTTCAAGTGCTCATTTCCATATCTGAAAAGTATCCCAATATGACCCCAGAGGAAAGCTCCCTATGAATCCTGGAAGGCCATCTGCCAAGCTGAACAGTTAGCAAGAGGGAGGGACTCAGCTTCAAGGAGCAGCTGCAGAGTAGTGGGCCACCCAGCTCCACAGACACATGGGGCTGCCCGGAATGTTATCAGCAGGGCTCCTCTAGCTCCCCACTCAATTTCGGGGCATCCATCACCTTCTGGGGAAGCAATAAGGGATGCAGATGCTTTAGTTCTACCCTGGGAGGAAATGAGGCAGGAATCTTGAGTCCTCCTTAGAAATTCCCAAATGACACAGAAGACTGTGAAATACTGCTTCTTGCTCACAACACTTGAGCTGTTTCTAGAAAGAATTACATATATAAGCTAAAACAAAGCCAGGTCAATGCAGGCTTCACTTTGCACTTGACTCCCTAGACCCTTTCTCGGGACACTGACACCTTCTGCAAGTAATGGGTACTCAGCAACATTTGCTAAAGGAACAGGTGGATGATTTTTACAAACTTGGTTTTTCAGCATCCTGAGAATTCACTGCTGTCTGGAACATGGAGTGACCCACTATGCTCCAAGAGACCACAGGCTAGGCTGTAATGTGATTGCTAGAGCCTGGAGGCAGGAAATATCAGTACCTGGCTTGAGCCACACTAGGAGGAGCCCAAATTACATATTGTCTGTCACCTAATAACAAAGTTCTAAAATATACCCTGCTCCTTAGGAGCAGGTACTCTAGCTAGAAAGGGGCCTGCCTAGGAAAGACAAAGCAGAGGACAAAGGACTCTGAGGCTCATTATGAGTTGTAAAATCAGGTCACACTGGCCTACTAGTGCCATCATGAAATCAGGGATGGGTTTAATTAGGTGAGACGATGGATGGAGGACATGGACGATGTTCTCAGCTGTAGATCAGAGTCTTGAGAAACCATATACACAGAAGTTTACTCTGTGATCATCAGAGGCCGCAGGATCCCTGGTGGCTGAATATTAGAATTTTCCATACCATGAACCAGAAGGTAGATTATACATGAGAATGTATGTGTTAGCTTACTGAACGGTACCAGCTATCATATTGAACACTCGTTGGCTTTGGTTTACAAAGTGCTTTTGAAAAACTTTGTTTAATAAAAAATGCAAATCAACTTTTTATTAGATATTGGGATAAACTTTTATTTTCCTACAAACTATGAGAATGTCAGAAACATGCAGCACTTAGATGCTGTGCTTCTGACTCATCAGATCATCTCAGGAAATCAGAAGGAACTGGAGTTGAGTGACACCATTAAGGAGCTAATGTTTTCCCAGCATGGCTGCCTTTGTGGAGTGTGTCCTAATGCACATGCACACTCCTCACAAGGTGGGGCAGACTTGGAGGTCTCTCCCACCTCAGAACAACCTAGATATGCAGCATTGGGAAGTTAAATAACAGGAGACCTCAAAACAATCAAACAACATGCTATAATTTAATTTATCATCTCTATCAATTTTTCCCCTATTTACACATACTACACATTGTTAGAGACCTGAAACTAAGAAAACGTTTGCTTACTGTGTATGCCATATACATAGAAACTGGGTGCAAACACAAGGACGAGTTTCCCTTAGAGGTGGCACCCCCTTCAGTAGGTATGGAGTAATATAGCTACGCATAAGACACAATGGAAGGCTTAGAGGGTCTGTCAAACCTCCATTACAGTTAGTGGCAAGAAGGAAGTGACACCTGAGGACAGTCAGGAAGACAGGATTTGCATGGCTCACTGGAGCTTTGTGATCTCCCTTATAAGGCTAAGGGTTCTACTAACCAGCCAATTACAAAGTCAGAGTCCATTCCCCAGGGCTCTTAAGAGCTGCAAACTTGGCTGCTGAAGACACTGTAAAAGTCACTCACCAGGCTAAATTTCTTTTCTCCTATCTGCTGAAGGTCTGGCTATTTTTAAAGTCATAATTTTGCAGGATTACTATTTTTTAAAGCATTAAAGTCTAATCAACTACAATATAGACATCAGTTCCCCTCTTTATGGAAATCTGGAAATCAGCATACTAAGAAGTAAAGAGACTGGCCAGGCCCTGCAGGAGCCCAGAGAGTCTTATCACACTTCGGGGTACTTAGGGCCACTTTTATTACAGATGGCTGACCTACTAATACTAATGTGATGAGTAGTTCTTTGGAAGGTCTCTACCAGATGAGTGACCCTTAGCAATTTTGTTAAAAGACATTTATTATAAAAACACAATATTTGCTTTTCCAACTGAAAAAAAAAAAAGAAAAAAGAAACACTGAACTTGATCATTTCAATTTTCCACCCCAAATATCAAGAATTGCTAAATCCAACCAAACACGGTTGCCAGAGTCTCCACTCCCCAAGTCTAATTCTCTAACCAGAGCTATTACCAACCCAAGGCCCATGGCCTAAAATAGTAAAACATAAACAGACATAAATTGCTGCTGGTCACCCAGGGCATGGGGTTGGGAAAATCATTATGTAATAAGGTCAAATTATTTGGTACCTCCAATTGACTTTCTCACTCCAAGTCTGAGAGTGTTGGCTTGTGGAAGCAAATGGAGTATGAACAGAAGGCCAGGGGAGTTAAAAAGGACCTCTGGGGCCTGGGTTGTGGCCTCGGGTTCTGTTACTACTGAAAAAAAAAAAAAAAAAAAAAAAAAAAAACAGAGGACTTCCAAAATGACAAGAATTCTACAACAGGGGTTTCTGGAGCCTGAAGATAGTGCTCTTGCAGAAGAAAGCTACTTGCTGGAAGAGGGCTACAGGGGCCTCTAGGGCCCAGCACTTGGGGTGAGGTGTGCTTGTGTGCTTTTTATAAGAGTCATGTCTGGACACTTTGTAAACAGCCAAGCAGCAGATCAACAATAGAAGTCTGAGCAATACTGGACAACCAGACCAGAATGCTCAACTCTCTCTTTCTCTCTCTCTCCGTCCCCTCCCCCTCTTTCTCACAAGCATGCAGAGCATGCACACAGTGGGTGGGCTATGAATCCAGGTACCACTGACACAATGGGAAATACCATGACATCTCCTTAACCTTCTATCATCATTACGCTCCGGATAAGTGAGCATCCTTCACCCTTAGAACACAGCACACAGAGGGATTAGAAGTTTCCTTCTGCTTTGCAATGTCCTGTTCTGTTTATGATTCCCAGGCAGCTCCCTAGTGCTTTTTTCTGTGGGTCTGGGATGGGAGACTGCAGAATTCCCTTTAAAGCAGGTAGATGGATTCTCCCTGCTGTTGGATGATGCTCCTAGAACGGTGCTCTCAGAATTCCCGCTCACTGCAAGGCTGAGTCTGGCTTCTGGCTCTGACCCCTTCTCTACCAAAGTCAACAGCAGCCCATTCAACTCTACAGCAGATGGAAAAAGCTGGCTCCTCTGGGAGAATGGACACTGATGTTATAAGCAGGCTAGGTGTAACAGGTGGGAATAAAGAGCAGAGGAAGGCAGAGAGGTGGCCACATCCAGGCCTTTCATTCCCATGCCTGAGCCCCTGGAGGCTACATTCCACAGCAGCTTTCCTGCTCTGAGTGAAGGGGTCACCCTAGACATGAGCACTGGGAAATGGCCTCAGGTAGCTGGACCATTCAGCAAGGGAGGGATGGCCTCTGCAGCAACTTCTGTGTTTCGCTTTGAGGCAGAGCAGACAATTAAGCAACATTGGAGCTCTGAGACAGTGCCGGGACAGAGCTCTTCCCTGTGAACTGACTCTTTGCTGCTGGATTCTAATGTCCAAGATATTTAATTCCTCTCCTCTCTCCTATCCCAAACAGGCACAACACACTCTCCTTGGAGTCAGACAGGTTAATATATAATATATGTATATGCAGTATGCATCGTCTATTGCTTGGAACCTGTTATCCTAAAACTTATGTGACAAGAACTGTTTCTAGGGCTTGTCTTTGTCTCTGAGCAACAGGTAGGAGGAAGACTGCAGGTGAGCTTTTGGGGGCACTGGACATGATGTGGGTACTGGTCAGTCCTAGAGCTGCAGCAGGCACTAAAATCGTGTGTTGATGTAGGTGGTGCTGGGCTGGGCAGGGCTGGGCTGAGCTGGGTAGAGCTGGGCTGGGCTGGGCAGGGCTAGGCTGAGCTGGGCAGAGCTGGGCTGGACAGGGATGCTATTCATCTGTTTAGAGTTCTCATGTGGACAGCCCCGTATTTCTAGACACTTCTAATTGTTCTATGTGGAATATCACCGTCAAGACCTGCGGAACTGTGCCATTAGGAGAATCTTAGTCAGTAGGCCTTGGGTACCAGATAGAGACAGGCTTAATGATGGAGGTAAAACTTCCTATGGGAAAAGACCCTGGGGACAGCCAGTTTCCCTGATGATGAAATTTTGATGATGAAAAGTCTGAATTAAATTGTAAATCCTAACATAAGGATTAGCAAAATCATCATGGAGGAAATTCCTCTAATAATTACACAATTGTTTTGTCAGCCCTTTTGGGAATCAAAGTGGGTATACAGGGTTACAGACAAGTGCCCCTTGTCCCTTCTCTGTGGGTCCCGTGAACCTTTCGCTACTGTGCTCTGCCCAGAGGCTCCAGACTACGCCACAGGACAACAGGCTTGTTCTTGGTAGATGCCAGTGACTTCTTCTTCTGAAGCCCAAGATTTATGAGATTTCAGGACTAGAGAGACACAGCCTTGTCAGAAACTAGATCACTTTTGACCCTGGGGGCCCAGCAACAGGAAACTTGCTGCATGTGCTAGCACGTGGCAGTTTCCTGGAGTCTGGGTTTGAGGGTCCTGGGGAAGCAGGGGAGTCTTGCCTGTCTCTTCCACATGGAGGGTTTTCATGGAGGGTCAAGACCCCTGCAAAGGAAGCAGAAAATGGTTACATACTGAAGGAGGCATATACGGTACTCAGAAGACCAAGGGTACTTGGTCATTGGAAAGAGGGCTTGATGTCCTTCCTCCCTGCCCCACAGTGTGTTTCGCAAGGATGTTTGTTGAATGCACCATCAAAAACATGTCATTCCTCTTAGTCTTTGCCCCGGATTTTTCTACAACATAAAAGAAATTATAAATCTGTGAATCTTTGAAATAAAGTCCATCTTTCTAACTAGGACAGAAGTAAAAGGATGAAGAGAAAGGCAATTGCAGCACCATGAAGTGAAAGCCACGGAGGAGCCCTGGGCAGAGCCAGTGACAATGCTGTGTTCCTGGGATCCCTACGTGTTTACATATTGATAATTCACATGAGTTACTACTCAGTTATTCCCTAAAGGGCCTGAGACTAGAGGCCAGGCCTAAATTGCTTGTCTGAATGAGTCCAGATGAGCATGCAGCTATTTAGCACTAGAGGGAACAAGGAATAAAATTAAAACTCGCAGACCTGCACCCCCCTTCCCCAGGGTGGCTGTCTGGGAGCTCAGAGGAATACAAGAATGCTGCTGCAACACCCAGCCACTGTTGCGGTGGTGCTTGGTCTCCCAGGGGGCCACTCTTCGAATGAGAGGATCATTTCATCACCCTTCCTTCCCCTTGTAATATATTTTTAAATGCTCTAAGCTTCCCTGAGTGGCCTCTGCCTGGAACAAACCTCAAGAGCAGCACGCCTGGAGCCTCTTCCCTATGGGCTCCTCCTCTACAACTATGGCCTTTGAAATGGGCATTTCTGGTGTTTGGAATGAATTTATTTATTTATTTATTTACAGCTTTTTATTTATTTGTTTATTTTTTATTATGTCTTCTGACCTTGCCTTTCCCTCTGGGAAAAGCTTCTGAAGTCAGTACTTTACAAGTCTCCCTGACCTGTAGAGACACTGCCCCAAACACTCTATGGTTTTTCACTTTCAGAGTCCAAGGACAGACCATGATCCTCCCTCCCTTCTAGGGTCAGTGAGATTAACAGACAGAGAGGCCTGGGCCCCTCTCCTATTGTTTTCCTCATCAAAAACAGGCTCAGTGGTAGAACCCTTGCTTAGTATGCAGGAAGCTCTAAGTATGAGCACTGCAAAATTATAAAACTCAGGTTGCTAGACTTGGCCATTCAAGAATCTGTGTTTTTGTTTTGCTTACATATATGTATGTGTGCCACTTGGTGCCCACAGAGCCCAGAAGAGGGTGTCAGGACCCCTGGGACTGGAGTTACAGAGAGTTGTGAGCTGCCATGTGGGTGCTGAGATTTGAACCTGGGTCCTCTGTAAGAGAAGCCAGAGCTCTTAACTGTTGAGCCATCTCTTTAGCCCTGCAAAATCGAGTTTTTGTGGATATATCTCCAACTCCTAGTTGTTAGGAGTGGGCAGGAACATTTGATCAGGGGAAAAGACAGCAGGGGAAGCAAACCTGACTAAATCTCAGAGAGTATTATGGTTTAAAATGGGATTAAGAAGCCAAAAAAAAAAAAAAAAAAAAAAAAAAAAAAGCAAGTCAATAAACCTTAAAGATGTTAGGCAAAGGAATCGTTAATGTTTAGTCAGAAGCAAACATTTTAGTTGTATCCTGATCCCCCTCTACCAGGGAAGACAAGGAGGACAGAGGGTCACAGCTTGAGCTCCTGCAGATGGACAGAATAGTGCCAGCTGTCTCCATGAATAAGCCTGAGCCACCATTTCAAAGCTCTGCAAGCAAGGGGTTTATACTCCTAAAGGCAGAGACCCCATTAGCCAAGGGCAGAGAGCAAAGCCACACCAGGACCCAGTGCAACCGTGACCCATGCATTCCTTTAGTCCTCAACTTTTTGCTGGTGTACTTTCACCCTGAAATGGCTCCTCTATGCCCACTGTACCCCATGATGGATGGGGAGGCAGCAGCTGCAGAATGCATAGATGGGCACAAAGGATAAGGGCTGCTTTCCTGATACAGTGACTATACTTGCAAGCTGCTGGCATTGCTGCCCCAGCTCAGCTTCTGCTGGGGATGGAAGCTGGGGTTATTTCAAAGGACACCTGGGCTCTATTTTACCTCTGCCAGGGCAGGTGCAGGAGTACACTGGACAGGGGGCTGTAAATACAAATCTTTGCCCCTGAACTCCTCTTGGGAGGGGGCTTTAAATCCTGTCCACTCTTCTTGACTAGAGCACTTATGCTCCATAGATGCTGTCACCTTTGGGACACTGCTGGGACCAGTCCAAAGTCATGGCTGAGAAGAAAAGGCAGCTGGGCTAGAGGATCAACTCACTACAGTGGCCAGTTGCTCATCTAGCCAGCAGGTATGGCAGCCTGCTGGGTTACAGAGGTGTCCTGGCTGAGTTACTTGTCTTGGGACCACCATAGGAATGTGGCTAATAAATGACAGCTTTCTCTTCTGAGTGGTCACTAGCCAAGTCTCTCCTACCTGTGAATCAGAGTACAGCCAGGCCACACTGGAGAGTCATTACCCAGTCCTGCAGTGGGCTGCCATCCATCTGAGCTATCTGTGCTATGTCAGGATCCCAGACCCAGGACAGAAAGGTCAGGCTGGGAGGTCACACCTGCCATCTCAGCTTGTTCTCTGAGTCCTAGACTGTAGATCCTGGGGTCCACTGCCCTCTGCACTTGCCCAGCTTTTGTCTGCGTCTCTTCTTCCAGCTGCTCTATTCAGCAGCTCTCCTTGACGACCTGCCCTCCCTGTGTGGAGGCCTTTGGAGGCCTCTGCTAAGGCAAGCAGTCAAAGGCCAGCCCAGCACGTGCTTCATCTTATCGGCTCATCTCAACATCTTGCTTCTCCAGGCTTGCCCTGGGGAGGGGAGATGTACCCGTGGCTCCCTGCAGCCTCCCACACAAAGGGGAGGCGACAAAGACATTTTCCACGATGGCAGGTGTTGGTGTACCGCCCAGGGTGTACCGGCAGAAGAAAAGCAGGCAAGGCTGGGCTCTACAGGCAGCACAGACATGTATGGGCAGGAGAGTGGGCAGTGCCCCTTGGGGGAAGACAGGAGGCAGGCAAGGCTGAGGCCCAAGAAGGTGAGTAGGCGTGTAAAGTGTTAGTCAACCCATACCCCTCCCCCAAAGCAGGGTTTGGAGTGTGCATGGGTGGGGGTGGGCACAGGCGACACCAACAGGTTAGTCTTACCTTGCTCAAGTATCATAATGAGACTGTCATGTGTTTTTTTAATCTGAAGAGAGAGAGAAGATAGAGATCCAGTGAGTGGAAGCATGGTACCTCCACAGCTGCAGCTTGATAGTGAACACACTGCTGACAACACACGTATCCCTCAGCTATCCCTATTCCTAAAGCTTTCAGCATCATTCCAGAAAGTTCACTTGAACACCCACTTAATGGGACCAAATACCAGGTGGTGTCCTATTTACAAACGTGTCCTTGAAAGCATATAGATCTGAGGGAAGATCTCAGCCTCCATTCCTTATGACAGGTTCCCATCACCCCTTCCACGCCATCTTACTCCCTATGTTTCCCACAGCGCATGCACCCTGGTTTTGCTTTTAGAAAGTAGTTTTCTACCCCAACCCTGAGCCCCCAATCTCTCCTGAATCCCATATAGCTAGATACCTATTGAATCTGGACATTTAGCAGTGACACAAACTGCTGTGCATACTGCCACAATTACAAACTCAGACTTTCTGTTGATTCCATCTGCCAAGGTTGGCACAGTGACCAGAGACTTTCTGACACCACTGGGACATTCTCCCTGCTATAGCTCTCTGATGGAAGTGTATGTACGTCTGTGAAGTTGTGTTCTCCAGTCTATGGATGAAAACTTGGCTCCCTGATAGAGTTCCTGGGGTAGGAAGCCAGGATCCACCACCAGCCCTGGATGACCAAGTGGCACTTCCTTGTCCTACTATGAACTTGGGTCCTTCTCCATGTGAGGGCATGAGAAGCTCTGCCCAGGCTGATTGTGGGTAACAGATGATATTGTCCTTAGATGATAATGTAATTATCTAGATTTTTTATTTCTCCCAGTGTGCCGGGCTCCATTTTAGCTAATGGAAGACCCACACACCTCTTGTTCCACCTTGCATGGTTCTACCTTGAGTGGAACCTCAGGCTTTCAAGAGTGCCATGCTCATGATCCTCTCCTATGTGAGAAAAGGCTTTTTTTTATGAAGGGGCTCCTTGATCTCATTCTTCTGCAGCCCCCTTGGCCCTGGTTATGCTATGCATGCAGGCCCTTGATTGGTAGAAACCCAGAAAGCAGATGGCGTGCTAACAATGGAGGACTTGTTTGTAATTGCTGATGAGGACTGGTTTGCTCCTCTCCTGAGGGTCCCCAGACACAGCCTGGTGTAGTGTGCCGGCCCACAAAGAGTATCTCAGTAACTGCCAATCCATGGTTGAGTTAAGGAGATGCATAGGCAGTGGCAGTTGGAGGCTGCCTTGATTATTCCACAGGGCTCAGATGTCACCTGCTCTTGACATCCAGGCAGTACTCTTGAAGGGTGAGGTCCCAGTTGCTGGGACCAGGGAGCAGACTGCCTCTTAGCACAACCCCAGGGGTTAGCACAGAGCATCAGCTACCCTGCACACTATTTGAAGAGCCTAGAGGAGAAGACACTGAGCTTGGAGATGAGGGATGAGAAAAGATGGGAGGCATATGATGCCTGGGAGAAAAGAGGCACCAAGTATGACCTCCCCTCACCCAGCCTTTTTTTTTTTTTTTTTTTTATCCACTGGACACCAGATGTATTCTGAGCACTATTACAGACTGTAGCAATGGATGCAGCAGACAAAAACCCCCCTTGCTTTGGGGGCTGTAGTGGATGGTGGGGGAGGTAGTGCATACGAATACACAAACACATACATTTCTGTAGTACCTGAAGGGAGAGGCCCAGTTAAGAAATAAGGTTTTTGAAAGGTTTGGTGGTGACTCAGGACATTGTACTGCAGGGTTACAGTGTGTTTCGAATAAGAAGGCATGTGTGGACATT